TCCGGGTTACAATTGCTGAGAGTATTTTCAAATATTTTTGTTACTAGGTTGTTTCTTTTTCACTTTATTACAAAGATAAAGTAGCCCGGAACTAAAATTATGGTCATAATTAACGTTCCGGGTTACAATTGCTGAGAGTATTTTCAAATATTTTTGTTACTAGATTGTTTCTTTTCCACTTTATTACAAAGATAAAGTAGCCCGGAACTAAAATTATGGTCATAATTAACGTTCCGGGTTACAATTGCTGAGAGTATTTTCAAATATTTTTGTTACTAGGTTGTTTCTTTTCCACTTTATTACGAAGATAAAGTAGCCCGGAACCAAAATTATGGTCATAATTAACGTTCCGGGTTACAACTGCTGAGAGTATTTTCAAATATTTTTGTCACTAGGTTGTTTCTTTTCCACTTTATTACAAAGATAAAGTAGCCCGGAACCAAAATTATGGTCATAATTAACGTTCCGGGTTACAATTGCTGAGAGTATTTTCAAATATTTTTGTTACTAGGTTGTTTCTTTTCCACTTTATTACGAAGATAAAGTAGCCCGGAACTAAAATTATGGTCATAATTAACGTTCCGGGTTACAACTGCTGAGAGTATTTTCAAATATTTTTGTCACTAGGTTGTTTCTTTTCCACTTTATTACGAAGATAAAGTAGCCCGGAACCATAAATAATGTTCCCGGTTACAATTTCTGATATTATACTTTCATGTAAATTAGTTGAAATTGATTCGTCTAGAAACATTTGTTAAAAAAACACGATTACCCGCTGAAGGTGTATTTCTTGTGACAAGACTTTCTCTAGAATACCAACAATTTTGACCTTCACCTTGGGGTTGAACTATTGAAAAAAATTAACTTTAACCTTGGCCATAACTTTTGACATTTGATGCTAGGGCTTTTATATTTCACATGTATATTTCATGTGACGGGTCCTTTCCCTGGGTATCATTGATTTTGATCTGTATCTGTACCCGGCCTTTGAGTTTGACCCACTTTTTAAAAACTCTAACCTTAGCCATATATGACTTTTGAACGGTTGGTTTTGGGGCTTTCATATTTCACAGGTATTTTCATTGATACAAGTCCTTTTTTGGAAACCAACATTTTGATCTCTTGACCTTGACCTTAGAGTTTAACTTGCACTTTAGAAACTTTACTCTTCACAAAAGACTGCCGTACGGGAGCATCGGTGTTTCACAAACGCATTTTGTTTTTTATTACTTCTCACTTTACCTAATGTGTTTACGTTAAAGCGTTTGAACTTTTTTTTAACTATTAATCTAAAACAATTCCAGTATTTAATGTGAGCATGTAACCCTGTCTTTGACACATAATCTTTCAATTTTAAGTCTTTTAAAAAGTTTATTATTATTTATTAATTGCTTTAGACATATATCTTATCGCATTTCAACAATAACAAACAATACCAAATACATGTAATACATTATGGCATTGTATGGTAGTTTTTATAGATTACACAATCGTCATATACATTGTATCATGATTTCATGGAGAATTACCATATCATATACGAAAAAACTTTCTCTCAACTTAAAAGCATAATGGATATATGTCCCAAAGTTACAGAGATCATGGACGTTGTGAGCACTTAATAATTGTACAAATTTGTATTAAACGACTTCTGTCAGTAATACTTCTTGACATATTTTTAAAGAAGCTTTTCAAAATGCAGGTCGTCAACCCCCCCCCCCCCCCTTTTGAAATATTTCTAGATCCACCATGTTCATTTAAACACATTCTACACATTTCACTCTCCCTAAGTTTTATTATGTCGTCCTGTCTCATAATCAAGATTATAAGATGAAAACCTAATTCGACTAACTTGAAATGTAGCTATGCAGTTTTAAACTGACGAAAACTACGCGCCACATTTTTCGTTTCACGGGGGGAGGGGGATATTTTCCATTTTCCACTGCATTCTATAGCGGAAAACATGTTTTAACAGAATTACAGAGTAGTCTCTTTTTTTCCAAATAATTATTGTTTTGAAACTTCGTTTATTTATATATATCATTCAGATATGCCTTTTGAAAATTGAGGTAGGTGACAAAACAGTTCTGAATACATGGTATATAAATCTCGGCGTTTGACATTTTAGCGGGGGAAAATGGACGTTTTATAGTGAAAAATGTGACATTTAAGCGGAAATTAAAATACATATGGACATTCAACAAATTGTTAAGTAAAATATAATTATATCTATGCCTCTTCCGTTCGCCAGTCGGGCTAAGTTTTCTGCCCCCTGCGGGGGAGGGGGTAGGATTTTGCGCAGACTTAACAATACTATTCATTTCTCAGGATTGTAAAATACAAATCTGTATCTGTATTACATTTCCTCTTCAGGGTTATTATTACCAATGCTGATACCTGCACTTAGCTGTATAAATAAAAATGAGTTGAGTTTTATTCAATAGTTTTTGCTGTGTCGTCGAAACCTTTGCTAGAGTCGGGAACTTAGAAATTTTAAAGTTCGTCATATTTTGCTGGCATTACATTGATTGTTTAAAAAAATAAATTTTAACCGAGAAAAAAAAATCCACATTTTTTTTTTATTGAATTATAACAGGAATTTGTTTTTCTTCACATTAAATGCTTTATAATTTTTCCGCTGAAATTAATGTCTATTCACACTTTTGCAGGTCCTTCGCCCACACATCTCCTATTATGTTCATTCATGTACTGTGATTTAATTATATACTTGGCTTTACAAAAACGCAATGGGTGTTTGAAAAAATATATATAAAGATATTAAAATATTATCCAATAATTTTTTTAATCGTAAATATAATTCATCTATTAGCATTACCAACTGATCAGGCTGCCCTTTGCCGAAAACTCATTTAAAATTTCGGAAATGACACAGCGATTCGCATGACCTCATATTGTATGGATGGAAGGGTGTCATAAAACAACATGATTGGGTAGGTCAATGTAAACAAGTTTCACACCTTCGCGTTCTTTTGTTTACAAAGAAACAACATAATTACATATAATTCCATGGAATGGATTATAGTATTGGTACATGTACATGTATTAAGACCCTATACTGGGGCTTCTTCTAAAGCGATATACGTTTAAAATCCTGCTGCATCGTACAACCCGTTAAAAGAAAGAAAAAAAACCCAAATTATTTGTAAATATTAATTATATATAAAGTTTTTAAAAGGGTGCTTGGATGCCCGGAACGTTTATTATGGCCGGAACCAAACTTACGCGGGCCGGAACGTTTATTATAGCCCGGAACCAATATTATAGGTATTTAGCGTTCCGGCCGGAACGCTAAGTTACCCGGAACGTAAATTATGCGACAACGGTCATTCATTTCAAAGCTTTTGTTTACTGTCAGCCTAACGTTGTACAAACTTGTGCGAATGACAAAAAAAAAAAAAAAAAACGCATTTTACATTTATAAAACTTGTGTGAAAGTAGGAAATTTGTACAAGATTAGGCTTGTACTTAAAATATTAAAAATGTATGAAAAGTTCAAAGTTTTTCCTATAGCAAGCGAGAGCTATTCACCTGTATGACCTATGTTGAACCCACCGATGGAATAAATACCGGTAGTCAGGAACACGGGGGGGGGGGGGGTAGGAGAGTTCAGTGTCGTTAAAATGTCATCATACATAAAAGTGTCGAACATTTTTAACATTCAAGCAAGACAATGGTACCGGTATTGAAAGCTACCTAAATACACTTTTTTCATTTTAAAATTTAAAGGAACTAATGTTAATACTTATTGTATTATTTCAAATGCAAGCGTGCAAATTTCTTAGTTTGATCACTATGACTACAGGCATCTATACAGCTTCATTCGATTTTTTTCTCAGGCAAAATAGCGCAAGAAGTATCATTCGGCAAACGCGCCCGTCAATGATCCACCATCAGATTGTTCAAGTGTCCGATTTAAATGTCTCCTCCCCTTGATTTAAATAAACGAAATTCAAAATAGGTACGGTACTACTTTTCCGGATTTGGGGTATCTAAAAGTATTCAAAAAATCTTCATTTATTTCATATTCATGCTGATTTAGGTGATGTTTTAACGTGATTTTAATTAGAAATATCCACTTGTGTTAAACTTTTACCAAAAGAACAATTTGGTAAATAAATATGTTCTAAAGTAATACGACACTGAAAAAGGACCCATTCAGCATTGCTTAAGTGCACTCGTCCTTTATTCCATTGTCACTAAAACACAGTCAAGGGGAACTATACCTCAATTCTTTGGTCTTGTCCCATGATTCCTAGCGCTTTGTTATCAGGGACGTAGCGCAAAGGATCATGGGTGAAGACTAATCCAGTGTGACCTCCCAATAGATTCTGCACGTGCTATGCATTAACAAAAAATACGAATAATGATGAAATGCACATAGAATCCTAGAATATGATACGAAATCTTTAGTGTATTCAATTTAAGTATTCTTATGAAGCCAAGATAAATATTTTGAATACTTTATTTACATAAGTAAGCAATAATGATTTCTTATCAACAATACTTTCTTGTCTTTGAAAGCTGTACCCATTGTTGAAAAGCAAATAGATAAACTCAATATTTTTGCACTTTTATACGATATTGTTCTGTCAATACGCAAAAAAATGGTATATAGAAATTCCTTAAGTTGCCGGAGGCTGTCAATACATTAGTTGAACTCGAGGGATAGCTTAGTAGAAAGTTTGGGGGGAAATTAATACTCCATTAATCAAACCTAGTTTGAAGGTGAAGGTTCGTAAATATTCCTAGCTATTGTCTTTCACTTATTTACAATTTTCAATTGCCCATGAGTACATGACTAATTATAATTAGTCATGTACTCATTGGCAATTGAAAATGTGATGACGTCAGTACATTGGGATTTCTTCCTCTATTTTTGGATTGAAGGACTGACCTTTTCACTGTGCTTATTATTTTTTTTCAGCTGTTACTTTGACGGAGTGACTGGGAACTGACCATGTTTATTATTATTTTTTCAGCTGTTACTTTGACGGAGTGACTGGGAATACAGCTAACTTTTTCTTCACCACCGTTCCTCTGTGTTTCATTCTTCTGTTGAACACCACTCTCTACATCCTCATATTCCAGAAACTCACAACAGAATCAAGGCGCTTGCGCAGAAGAATCGGCACGCAGACGAAAACTTTGACAGCCAATCACAATGCAGCGCGTTCGATGTCGCTGTTTGTCCTAGCATTCATCATACAGTGGTGGGCCATGGCAGTATACGGACTCTGGACCTTTGTTAATCCCGATGGAGTACCGACGGCTGTTTTCCACTTTGTCACAACGTTTTCTAATATTGGAGGCATACTGAATTTTATCGTATTTATAATCATCAGAAAAAGATCGTTAATGACCGTAAACACGTGCGAAATTACGAATCAAACTAATATGCCTTGAAAAAAAATACTTATGACACTAGTTGCAGATTATTGTAAATTAACAAAAAAAAAAAAAAAAAAAAAAAAAGGTCAGGAAAAAACTTTTTTCAGAAGGAAGAGTTAATCCGACTGTAACAGAATGTCGATTACATTTGCATTTTTGCTGTATATATCTACTAGTTCCGCAGAAAATAAAACATGTCATTAAATGATTGAATTTATTCCTAGCTCTCTGGTTGGCCGAAATCTAACATTATAGAAATTGTACCGAGTTAAATTCACCTGCACGAGACTTTCTGGGTGAGCACAACATTTATTTTTTCAACATTGGACCAAAAATAGACTGAGAACTTTCAGATTGATACATTAGTTTGAACAGTTATGTTTACCTGCACGCGATCTTCCAGGTGAACATTACAATTCCTTTTTTTTCTATATCAAATCAAATTTCTAAATTAAAACGATTGTGAAAATTATTTTGCATGCACCCGACTTCCAGGTGAATATAACAATTTTTGCACATCAGACCAAACGTAGATCAAGATATTCAAAATTTATACAACTGGTTTTATCTGTATTCTGAATCTAAAATCATAGTGACATCAGAATTTTGTTAAAAAAAAAAACAAAACAAAAACAAAAAAAACAAAAAAAATTACCAGGGGTTTTTAAAGATAACAAAGATGAAAATCTGAGGAGTATAATATTCACCAAGCCCGAAGGGTTGTACTTCGGAGGTGGTTAAATCATCGAATTTACTCAAAAAACTCCCTATATATATTTAGTGTTCCTATTACATTTAAAAAAGAACATCAAAAAGTATGGGGTCCATGGGCCACAATGCTCACCCAGAGGTAAACCCAGTTTTTTTTTTTCGGGGGGGGGGGGGGCACATATGTCAGATTCTCCTTACCTTTTTTTCGAGGGGTCCGTGTTTCCTAGAGGGGTCCAGGGTCATTTTTCATTACGTTTACATAGAAATTTAATAACTCTGACCTTAGTCCTACTGTTTTTCATCTGAAGATTCTAAAAAGATTTTCTCCTGAATTAGTCCAATCTTAGATTTTGGCCAAACATTGTGTTACAACCACAGCTTGAAAAGGTCATCACTTGACTAAATTTGAATCACACACAGCACAGTGATTCTTTTAAAAGTATCAATATTACTAACATTGCCTTGCTGCTCCGGGGGAGATTTTTGTCCTGCATGTACACCTGCATTATGTAAAATATGATCCTCCATTCCAGTCTCACCCTTACCCCACGGTTCAAAAATTAAAACAAGAGGCCCATGGGCCACATCGCTCACCTGAGCACATTGGCTAGGAAAAAGCACAAATCACTTCAGTATTGAAAAGTTTAAAGGGGGGGGGGGGGCTTGGATTATGAACTACCTGAGGATGCTTCCATATCAATATAAAAATGGCTTTGCTGTTCTTGAGCAGCAGATTTTTAAAGATTTTTTTCCTATATACATGTATTCCCTTGTTAAAATTTTGATCCCCCATTGTGGACCCTCCCCCCCCCCCATCATTTGAACAAACTTGAATCTACTCTACCTGAGGATGCTTCCTTATCAATATGACTAAACATGGCTTTTCTGTTGATGAAAAGATTTTTTCCTATATATTTCTATGTAAAAATTTGATCCCACATTGTGGCCCCACCCTACCCCACATCAATATGACTAATTGTGAAATTGCTGTTCTTGAGAAGAAGATTTTTCAAGTTTTTTTTCTGTATATTCCTATGTAAAACTTTGATCGCTCATTGTGGTCCCACCCTACCCCTGGGGGTCATGATTTGTACAAACTTTAATCTACACTACCTGAGAATGATTCCATATCAATATGACGAATTGTGGCTTTGTTGTTCTTGAGAGAAAGATTTTTAAAGATTTTTTTTCTATAAATTCCTATGTAAAATTTTGATCCCCCATTGTGCCCCCCCTCCCGCTTGGGGGTCATGATTTTGTACAAACTTGAATCTACACTACCTGAGGATGCTTCCATATAAATTATGACTAATTGTGGCTTTGTTGTTTATGAGAAAAACAATTTCAAGATTTTTCCTACATATTTCTATGTAAAACTATGATCCCCCATTGTGGCCCCATCCTACCCCCAGGGGTCATGATTTGAACAAACTTGAATCTGCACTACCTGAGGATGATTCCATATCAATATGACTAATTGTGGCTTTGTTGTTCTTGAGAAGAAGATTTTTAAAGATATTGTTCTATATATTCCTATGTAAAACTTTGATTCCTCATTGTGGCCCCACCCTACCCCTGGGGGTCATGATTTGAACAAACTTGAATCTGCACTACCTGAAGATGATTCCATATCAATATGTCTAATTGTGGCTTTGTTGTTCTTGAGAAAAAGATTTTTAAAGATTTTTTTCTATACATTCCTATGTAAAACTTTGATCCCCCCTTGTGGCCCCACCCTACCCCTGGGGGTCATGATTTGAACAAACTTGAATCTACACTACCTGAGGATGATTCCATATCAATATGACTAATTGTGGCTTTGTTGTTCTTGAGAAGAAGATTTTTAAAGATATTGTTCTATATATTCCTATGTAAAACTTTGATTCCTCATTGTGGCCCCACCCTACCCCTGGGGGTCATGATTTGAACAAACTTGAATCTGCACTACCTGAAGATGATTCCATATCAATATGCCTAATTGTGGCTTTGTTGTTCTTGAGAAAAAGATTTTTAAAGATTTTTTTCTATACATTCCTATGTAAAACTTTGATCCCCCCTTGTGGCCCCACCCTACCCCTGGGGGTCATGATTTGAACAAACTTGAATCTACACTACCTGAGGATGATTCCATATCAATATGATTAATTGTGGCTTAGTTGTTCTTGAGGAGAAGATTTTTAAAGATAAATATTCCTATATATTCCTATGTAAAACTTTGATTCCTCATTGTGGCCCCATCCTACCCCAGGGGGTCATGATTTGAACAAATTTGAATCTACACTATGTAATGAAGGTCTCACGTAAGTTTCAACTTTTACAGCCCAGTGGTTCTTGAGAAGAAGATTTTTAAAAGATACTACCAAATTTTCACTAATTCTTAATTATCTCCCCTTGACAGAGGGTGTGGCCCTTCATTTGAACAAACTTGAATCCCCTTTACCCAAGGATGCTTTGTGGCAAGTTTGGTTGAAATTGGCCCAGCGGTTCTGGAGAAGAAGTCGAAAATGTGAAAAGTTTACAGACGGACGGACAGACAGACAGACGGACAGACGGACGACGGACAAAAAGTGATCAGAAAAGCTCACTTGAGCCTTCGGCTCAGGTGAGCTAAAAATGAATCCACAGTGACACGACTGGGAAATATTTGCACATTAATATGACTAAGTGGGGTCATTGAAAAGATTTCTTTAACTTCCAGTTTATTCCCATTTAAAACTTTGAGTCCCTATTTTTGCCCCAACATAGCCGCTGAGCCCATGACTTGAAAACAAAATGAATCTGCACTACATCAAGATGCTTGTAAATTAATCATGGCCTTGTTTTTAAGAAGACCTTTTCCTACATGTACATACACTGCATATAAAATCCGTATTGTGGCCCCACGTACCTACCCCAGTGGACCGTGATTTGAGCAATTTTATGCACTAAATGAGATGCTTGCATGTTGATATGGCTAATTATGACCCTATTGTACTTAAGAAGATATTTTCTTACTTCCTATATAAGGATTTATTTTCTAAAAATACATGTAGATCGGGATATTCCAAATTGACACAAATAGTTTTGGAAAGCTATTTTACTTGCTAACGGCTTCCACTCAGGTGTACGAAAGCCTATTAGGATCAAACTACGGTAAAAAAAAAATTTAAAAGGCGTTATAACGCGAAAAAAGGCGAAATAACGCCTTTTGAAAAGGCGTTATTACGCCTTTTGAAAAGGCGTTATTACGCCTTTCCAAAAGGCGTTATTACGCCTTTCCAAAAAGCGTTATTACGCCTTTCCAAAAGGCGTTATTACACCTTTTAAAAAGGCATTATGACGCCTCTCTAAAAGGCGTTATTACGCCTTTCCAAAAGGCATTATTACGCCTTTCCAAAAGGCGTTATTACACCTCTTATTTTTCAATACGTGACTTACTTAGCACACCCTGGGGGCTGATTATAATTAGATTTCCAGGAAAAAAGATTTTTAAATGTGTAAAATATTTTCAGTGTTAAACCAATTTAGTCCTTCTCTGATGCCAGACACTTCTACTTGCTCATTATACCTATGCAAATACTTTGCCTGTTTTTTCCAAGAGGAGAGAAAAATATTTCAAATTTGACATGAATTTTTAATACGTGGCTAGCAAAGCCCAAAGCTGGCTCTGCCTATATCCTGGATTTTCAAAAGGAGAGTGTTGACTTCTCTTAATGGACTTTTGCGAGAAGCACTGACTTTTACAGTCGACAGCTGACTTTGACATTTAAACTTGTGTTATGTACGGAGGTACGGAATTGATAATAGATAAGAAAACATTAATAGTGGTTAAAGGTATGGTGTTAGGGACACTTACATGGTTTATAGGTGTACAATCAACACAAGAGATGATAGGAGGCAGAAAAACATAACTTAAAATATGCTATTCGTGAGGGGTAGTATCTCCTTTTAATCTCATTTGCTGAAGAAATTAAATAAGGAAGGAAAAAAACATTTCGAAAGGAAAACTTGACAGAACTTGGTTAAGTTGGAAAGGGAGAGGTTTGAGGATAGGGTGGTTGCAGTTCCCTTCCTAGACAACGTTATATGTGCCTTGAAACTGCCCATTATTACCTTTTAATTAATTGTTCAGCTAAATACTTATACCGCAAAAGAGTTCCCGTAGGTTGTCCTAGTGTAAAAGTAATCCGTCGACTGTAAAAGTCAGCGCTTCTCGCAAAAGTCCAATACGCATGCAAACAGCTGTCTGCGAGATGTGCAGGAATATAGAAAATACTATAATTCATAATATAATTTATAATATTAAAACTATAATCTAGATATTG